GTTGTAAGTAGGACTTGGACTGGGATGAGTGATGTCATCATGGCTGTTTAACATATTTATAGATGGGATTGTAAAAGAAGTGAATGCTAAGGTGTTGAGGAGAGGTGTAAGATTAAAATATGCAGAATCGAACACAACGTGGGAGTTGTCACAGTTACTTTTTTACTGATGACATTGTTCTTTTGGGAGATTCTGAAGACAAATTTGAAAGGGTATGAAAAGGAAGGAAATTGAAAGTGATCATAGGTAAGAACAAGGTGATGAGGGGTAACAAATGTGTTAGGAAATGAAAGATTGGATATCAGATTGGAGGGAAGGAGTATGGAGGAAATGAATGCGTTCAGATATTTGGGAGTGGACTTGTTGGCAATGGGTCTTTGAGAAATGAGGTGAATCATAGAATTTATGAAGGGAAAAAGGTAGGTGGTGCATTGAGGTATATGTTTAAATGAAGAATGTTATCCATGGAGGTAAAGAGGGAAATGTATGAGAGTATAGTGGTACCAACACTCTTATATGGGTGTGAAGCATGAGTTGTAAATGTTGCAGTGAGAAGGAGTTTGGAGGCAGTGGGAATGTGTCTGAGGGCAATGTGTGACATAAATATTATGCAGAGAATCCATAGTTTGGATATTAGGAGGAGGTGCGGAGTTGCTAAAAATACTGCAACCCCTCCTCGGGGGACTGAAGAGGGGTTGTTGGGGTGGTTTGATCATTTAGAGAGGATGGGACAAAATAGGATGACTTGGAGGGTATATAAATCTGTAGTGAAGGGAGGGCAGGGTAGAGATCATCCTATGAAAAGATTCAGGGAGGGGGTAAAGTTGTGCAAAAGGGGATCTGACATCCAGTAGGCATGTGTGAGAGTGTTAGATAGGAGTAAATGGAGGCAAATGGTTTTTGGGACCTGACAAGCTGTAGTGTTGCAATGTGAGTAGGGTAACATTTTGTGAAGGGATTCAAGGGAACAAGTTAACTGGACTTGAGTCCTGAAGATGGAAAATACAGTGCCTGCACTCTAAAGGAAGGGTGGGAATATTTGCTATTTGGAGAGTCATATAAACTATCGTATATGGGCGCCTCTGGCAAATCATTGATAGTATGAATGGTGGTGAAACTGGTTCTCTCTCTCTCTCTCTTGTAGAGTCATTCAGAAATTACAGGAGGGCTCCGTTTGTACAGCTCTTAGGTTCCTGACCCCGTACAGTAAGTCAAAATCTCCATCAGGTGGAAAAGAATAGTTTTTCATTACTGAATGCATCTAAAACACCTGATAACATGTTTACAATATCATATATTAAGTGCATAATATAGCTAGTCATAAAAAAAACAAAAACTAAAATAAATACACAGTACATACAATACTTACCTTAAATTATGGTGCTGGTTGTCCTTCTGTTATGCAACTGTTGTTTGAAAATGGTGGAAAAGTGGTAAAAACACTGAACATAATGAACAGTGGCTCAACTGAAAGCCATAATTTTTATTATTATTATTATGGAAGCGCTTAACTCATAGGAGTTATACAGCACCATTGGGGGGGGGGGGGATGGAAGACATTCAAGTTCAATTCAGGAAACTGGAGCACAGATCCAATTCTGTAGATCAAGAGTCCCTCACCAGCATCAAGGAACCTCCGGTGAGGGGAATTGAAAGCCAAGGAAAATGTGGAACATTGAAAAGAGGCCTGGTATATGTGGAGGCCTTTCTGTACTTATTCCTTCCTGTCCTGTAATCAGAACTCAACAAGGTTTCTCCTTCATTACTGTCTATGGACTCTGTCTCTGGTTGACCTCATTATTGGTCCTGCTTTATCTCTTCAGCTTCCTTCAGCCATGGCATAAGCCCTCCTAAAGTCTGTCGCCATTACGTCAAGGATGTGTTGGGCTCATCAGTTATTGCAACTTCTTTGGAGGTCATGCAGCCAATGCATAAATCAACATTCACCTGTTCAAGGACTCATCTTACATGTGAGCACCTCAGAACTTCTTCCTGAGGCATCATTATGAGGTGAGTTCTCTTGTCTTTGCTTGTATACTGGCTCCTGGTGATTCTCCAGGCTTGGCGTTTTCCAAATTCTTTGGAGATCGGTACAGAGTAACTTATGCTAATCTTCGGTGAAATTAATAGTTATTCTCGGAGCATCCAACTCAGCATGACCGGAACTATAACCTGTAAGATAAATATGTTACTCACCCATATGGCATCATAGTCATGGCCACTATATATCCTGCCTATACCATGCGTATATGACCAGGCAGGGGTTTTGGGTTAACTTTAGGTCAGATTGATCTCCGGATCTTGTCACTGATAGGTCTCCTCTGTATTCTTGGGTGGGACTCTATAAGGTTGCTTGTTGGCTATTTGATATTCACTTGTGTAACTTCAGTCCATTGTCTTAAGAAACAGAATTTGAATGGTTTTTGAATGCTTAGTACGTATGTCATTTTTTGGGTAAGGGGTAAAGAGGTGGTTTCTTATACTCATTCGATAGAAAAAATGGAGTTCTAGCAAAATAGTTATGATTTTTTCAACTGGAACATTGGAATTGGCCAAAAATAGGGCTCAAAGTGGGCAAAATCGCCGATGAGTAAACATCGCCGAGACCTCTAACTTCGCGAGAGCATAATTCCATAAGTTTTCCATAAAATTTCATACTTTTGGTGTCATTATGATTGGGAAAAGATTCTCTATTATTCATGAGATTTTTTTTTTTTTTTTTTTTTTTTTTTTTTTTTTCTGAGAACAAGTTTCGGAGAGGGCCTGCCGACCCTGAAAGGGTTAAACACTTATTATAACCCATTTCTCACAGCCTACTCTTATTCTGATCTTATTTCTACTTATTTTAAAGTACAACTAATTAGTCATTATTACAAACCCTCAGGATGCAATACACATCAGTAGAGTAACATCCAAGTATCTATTTACTGGTAGGTAAACAGGGGCAATAGGCATAAGAAGACTTGCCCATAGTGTCCATCTGCCAATGATTGAGCCCAGGTCTTTTGTTTGTGAGTGGAATGCACTACCACTGAGCAATGAGCCATTCCTTTATTGCAAAATAAATTAGTTCTGAAATTGTTTGGTAAGACACATAGGCAACACTTAAGCATTTTTATTCCGAAACATATACAATACTGAAACTTGTCGATATTGTATACCATTTTGATACTGAAATTGTTTGAAATACATTTATTGAAGTTAGTTATGGAGTCAAGGTGTGATTTTTAAACCTTGAGATCTAATACTAATAATTCTTTTTAAATTCAGATTTACTAGTTAAGGAGTGGAAGATTTGATTACAGTATATTTTCCTTGTAATATTTTGTCTAGTCACTGTTGTTATATACTCGTGTTTAAAATATTTCAGCTTCAAAATGATCATGATGCCATTTCTTCAGTGGTGTATAGTGGGTTATTGACACAGGGTGTGCACTGTTCATGGTACAACTAGCTGTGGGGTGTTAGGTGCTCTCTCTGAACAACTGCCACAATATTTCATAACAGGGGACAGAGTGAGCTTAATATTTATGATGACGTTACTATCTTTGGTGGGTGTACAGTGCTCACCTAGCACACCCCTGCATCTCTCAACCATCTCTTTGAAAAACCTCTTGACTTAAACATTTCCCTCCAGCTTTATGAAGTTTTTCTTCACTGGCAGAGTCTGTAAACTGTACTAATGACCTATATTTTGTTTTCTAAGCAACACCTGGGCTTCTGGCCATCCTCGCAAAGCTCGCATCATCGGCATTTTTAAGAAACTGTTTCCTAACAGTTATACATTGGACATACCAGATTCACTGCTGGTTATCTTGTGGTGTGTACATCTCTGTGCTATGCTAAGCTTGTTACATCATGGTACTGTAATGATACCACATGTCTCAGTGAAATGTCCTGGTCATCTTAGTTCTTGATATTAACTTCTATTTCATACACTGCTATTCATGTAAATTTATTAAAATTATTTCTGTATATTATATTCCCATATTTTTTAGCATTTATCACAAGATTGCAAGAGAGGTTATGAAGTTTTCATGTATTACAAGGCCAGGTATACTCCAGTTATAAGACGATCTGGTCTATAAGATGGGAGAAAGGACTGGAGTATACTAAGTAAACTAGTATATAGTTTATTCAAGGTGAATAAACTACTAGTTCATTCAGGGTCTTCAGGGTGAATAAACTACTAGTTTACTCACCCTTTATTTTAATGAATAAATTACTAGTGTATAAACTACTAGTGTATAAACTACTAGTGAATACACTACTAGTTTATTCGCTAGTAGCGAATAAACAAGTAGTTTATTCATTTCACTACTGCAGATGTAATTAATGTGAAATTTTATCGTGGCAACGTTTCACTCTCCTGGAGCTTTGTCAAGCCATTACAAGCAATACAAGGACACAAAGGGTATATATATAGGTACCTAGTGAGCTGAAAGAGTAGGTTTATTAGCCAATGTATAACCCTATGGGTTTAGCACTTCCCCCTTGATTATAATAATAATAATAATCTGAGATATTGGAGCACATCGTGGATATTCAAAACTTTTTTTTTTTCTTTCTTTCTTTTTTTTTTTTTTTTTTTGCAGCCAGAATGAAATTTTAAATTATTTAGTCAGAGAGTTTCACCAGTCAGTTTAAAATTGTGATCTCAGCAGTTAAAGAGTCAAGCAGTAGTTTCTCAGGCTTTATAGTGTTGTTTTAGTTCCCTCACCTGGAGTCTACGTAGAGGGTATTCTGAGGATCACTGCCTCCGTGGCCCAGTCCTTGACCAGGCCTCATGGTGGATCAGGACCTTGTCATCCAGGCTGTTACTGCTGGCTGCACGCAAACAGACATATGAACCGCAGCCTGGCTGGTCAGGTACTGATTTGAGACTTGTTAATAAATCTGCTTTCCTTAAATAGTAATGAGTAACTAGTGTTAGTATTTTTGTCTTCTTTATTTCATTTCAAGTGATGATCCCAGGACTCTACTCTTTTTTCTCTTGACAGAGTTCTGCAGAATTCCATGGCAGCAACTTACGAAGATCACGGACCCCAGCCTCAAGTTGCAGTCGAAATGTCCATCTTCTACATTGTTTACTTCATCGTTTTCCCGTTCTTCTTTGTCAACATCTTCGTGGCTTTGATCATCATCACATTTCAGGAGCAAGGAGAGGCTGAGCTCCAAGATGGAGAGTTAGACAAGAATCAGGTGAGAATAGTTATAGCAGCTAATGAGATCCATATAATAACCTTGTTGAAAATTAAGGGCACTTAAGGGCTTGGTATTGGAATAGAGGCAGAGAGAGATTAAGAAAAACAAGATATAGAACTCACAGAAATGAAGAAATCCTATGAGATTTATAAAGTGGTTACTTGAGCTTTATGAAAAAGTCAGAGAGAATAACAACTAATAAACAAATTTATAAAGGAAGGGTGGGGATATTTGCTGTTTGAAGAGTCATCTGTACTGTTGTATCTGTGCACTTCTGGCAGGACAGTGATAGTGCGAATGATGGTGAAATGTTTCTTTTTCGGGTCATCGTACCTTGGGAGACGGCCCGCGTATTAAAAAAATATAATATAGTTAGCGCCCGCTTAACAATGTAGATAGGAACTGACAAATATGTTAAGTGAATTGCATTTTGCCCACCAAGCCCATGTTATAACTTGAAATGGGTACCTGGGTGATAATATTCCATATCTTGTTCCTATAAGTTTATTCATTAATGGAATTAAAAAAAAAAGTGTATTCACCTGAGATGGGTTAATTGTTTAGTAGAGGCATAGTTATGAGTGCATGACACAAAATCTGTGAAAAAAATTAATAGAACTTTTCCACCCAATAAGCATCCTCTCAGAGATACATTACTGTGTGCATACATCAAACACTACTTACATGTACTACTCTCTAATCTATCCTTACCTCACCTATGGTATTAGTGCCTTGGGATCTACTACACCAAATCAACCAAAACCATTAATAACCCAACAGAAAGCTGCTGTGTGGACTGTCAGCCATTCCAGTGACAGACAGCACACTTCCCAACTCTTCAAAAGTTTGAACTTGCTTAGTAAACAAAGTATGCTTTCATACAGCAATAAAGGAATGGAACAGACTGCCCACACATGTCAAAGCCAGTCATAGGATGAACCAATTCAAGAAGAGAGCCAAAAGGTGTCTGATGAATGTAGCTACAGAAAGGGAGGGGGATGATTTTTTATTTTTTTAGCTAACACGTGTGTAATATTACCTTATTCCTAGTAATGACCCTCGTATTGTAGGTAGTCTTAATGACTCTTGTGTAGTAGATAGTCTTAATAGTATGATAATAAGATGTTATCTCTATTATAGAATAATAATAAGATATTATCACCTTTATATTATAATAATAAGGTAAAAGGACCCCAATGGAAATAAGTCACTCTGTCTGACTTTTTTGGGTTATCCAAGGTACTTTATACATATGCTGCTATGTATAATAATCTATGTAATTGTATTTGTGTATACCTAAATAAACTTACTTATTTATTCTACTGTGCCTACTACATATACACTTACCATCCGACTTACGACCGAGTTCGGTTCTGAGAAACCAGTCATAAGTCGAAATGGACGTAAGTCGAACTTTACTACTGAATATCAACATCACATTTTTGTAATGACTTTATTTTATTGTTTTATTTTGGTATTTCATGTTTTACTTTACTTTTTATGCTGTTAGTACTGTATTTTATACTGTAAGGTTTAGGATAAACACTGTGTACAACACAAATAGTTGTTTATTTCCCAGAAATTTGGCAAAAAAAAACACGGTCGTAAGTCGAGTGGTCGTAAGCTGAGCAGGTCGTAAGTCGGATGGTAGGTGTATGTAGGACATTCATTTCCATTATAAACCCTCCTCTGAAACTTTTCCTTGATAGATTCCACATCATTTCTTTCAGGAAAAATTCTATTAAAATTTTTAGTTTGTATGCATGAAAAATAAATTATTAATATTTTTTTTAAGAAAGAAATTCATGTAATGAGAGGAACCTGAATTATTAAAGTTATTCCATTTCACAGAAATCCTGTATAGATTTTGCTATCCAAGCAAAGCCCCTGGAGAGGTATATGCCTAAGGACCGTGTCAGCTTTAAGTACAAGATCTGGCGAATTGTCGTTTCTACACCCTTTGAATATTTCATCATGTTACTCATTGTGCTCAATACACTTCTCCTTATGATGAAGGTAAGTTTTGCATTTTTTTAATGTTTAAATGCATTGCAGTCTCAATGTAAGAAATTATAATGAGTGCTTATGTGTTATGTTGCATTGGCATCCTGATTGGAGTTAGGAAAATATTTCTGTAAATTATTATACCATGGGCACACACACATGCACTCATGTATATATAAAGATATATGCATATACTCCAGGTATATATATATACATGAGTATGTGCATGTGTGTACAGATTGTGAAGTTGAAGTTAGATAATGCAGGAGATCGAGGGATTATTTTCCAATAAAGGTAGGTCATGAACTGGGATGTGTATGCCACCATGGTTGTTTAACATATTTATGGCTGGGATTGTTTAAAAAGTAAATGCTAGGGTGTTGGGGAAAGATGTGGGATTAAAAACTAATGAATTTGAATCAAGGTGAGAGTTGTCACAGTTGTTCTTTGCCAACAACACAGCTCTTTTAGAAGTCGGAAGAAAAGTTGTAATTCAAAATTCAGATTCAAATTTTTATTTCCATCCATAGTTTACAATGTGTGACTGACATGTTATAAGGAGTCAATTTCCATCCATAGTTACAATGTGTGACTGACATGTTATAAGGAGTCTATTTCCATCCATAGTTACAATGTGTGACTGACATGTTATAAGGAGTCTATTTCCATCCATAGTTACAATGTGTGTGACTGACATGTTATAAGGAGTCTATTTCCATCCATAGTTTACAATGTGTGACTGACATGTTATAAAGAGTCTATTTCCATCCATAGTTACAATGTGTGACTGACATGTTATACAGAGTCTATTTCCATCCATAGTTACAATGTGTGACTGACATGTTATAAGGAGTCTATTTCCATCCATAGTTACAATGTGTGACTGACATGTTATAAAGAGTCTATTTCCATCCATAGTTACAATGTGTGACTGACATGTTATAAGGAGTCTATTTCCATCCATAGTTTACAATGTGTGACTGACATGTTATAAAGAGTCTATTTCCATCCATAGTTACAAGTGTGACTGACATGTTATAAGGAGTCTATTTCCATCCATAGTTTACAATGTGTAATTAAAATATTAATTTGCCAAGTACAAAGAAAGCCACTATCATGCCGAGGCATTTCGGGCAGACTAATCCTGATACTTTACAGACTACGTCATACTAGACATATATAACATAGTTGGTTCGAATTGAACGTTGTTTTTATTACATCAACAGAGGTAGTAGCTGTTTAGCAGTAATTAAATTAACAAGTAGTTGAATAACAAGTTACAGTATTATATTTTTTGCACATTGTACATAATGAGATTGAGACCATTTTAGTTTTGAAATAATCTTATAAAATTTGGCAATTTTTGGGTTGATGGTGATGATAGTATATAGTATTTGTGTTGTTAGTTTTGGGAGATGAGGTGAGTTCTAAGTAGTGCCTTGAATTGGTGTGCAGGCAGCAGGGGCCCTTTTATATTTTCAGGCAATGAATTCCAGATCTTAAGGCCCTTTATGTACGTTGCATTTTTGCATAAGGAGAGATGGACACGAGATATCAAAGAGTGTTTTCTGTCTTGTGTTATGCAAGTGTGTTCTATTGTAGTTTTCAAGAAGGAGTTTGTGAGGAAGGTTTATACTGGAGAATAATGTTCTGTGTATGTAGTAGGCACAATAATATAAGTGAATATTTTGTATTCTGAGCACCTCTGCAAAAACAGTGATTATGTGTGAGTGAGATGAAAGCGTTGAATGATGATGAAAGTATTTTCTTTTTGGGGATTTTCTCTCTTTTTGGGTCACCCTGCCTTGGTGGGAGACGGCCAACTTGTTAAAAGAAAAAAAAAATTGTATATTAAGTAGGTTCAGGCTTTTAAATAGCAGTGGGGTGTATTGCCTGGCACAGAAGTTTGTAATCATTTTCACAGCAGGTTTAAGGTGATTTGCTATGGTTGAACCCCATGTACAAATTCCATAGGTAAGGGCAGATGAGAGAATGGTAAAGAGCAAGGAGTGCTGTTTGAGATACATAGTACTGTATCTTAGAGAGGATGCCTATTGTTTTGGAGATTTTTTTGGAAATATGTTGTATGTGAGTGTGAAATTTAAGACAGCTGTCAATGTGGAGCCATAGAAATTTTACGACAGTGTGTCTTGAAATGGAGGAACCATTTATCGATATGTTTAGCTGAATATTTGCAGCTCTGTTACCAAACTGTATACGTATAGTAGGTTTTGTCGATATTGAGAGTAAGTTTGTTGGCCGTCATCCAAGTGGATATTTTTAGCAGCTTGTCATTTACAGTGTTTCTAAGTATGGTTTGGTTTGGGTGAGAAAAGATATAGGTAGTGTCATCTGCAAAAAAGAACAGCTTTAAATAGAAAGAGTAATGGTTCAAAAACACTGCCCTGGGGGACTCCAACTAGAGCAGGTTGTGTAGTGGAGGCAACACCATTTGTGTATACATACTGTGTATACATAATGGTTGTCGATGAATTTGGGAAGGTATGCTAAGGAAGAAAATTAAAAGTGAGCAAGGGAAAGAGCAAGGTGATGACTTTAATAACAAATCTTTTCATTGAAAGATTGGCTGTCAGATTGGGGGGAGTAAAGCATGGAGGAAGTAAATATGTTTAGATATTTGGGAGTGAACTTGTCAGCAGATGGTTCTATGAAAAATGAGGTGAGTCATAAAATTGATGAGCAAAATTGAGACATTTGTGAAGACAAAGAACTTTGTCCATGGAGGCAAAAAAGAAAATGTAACTGAATATAGTGGTACTAACACTGTTTTATGGGCATAAATCATGGGCTTTAAACATTGCAGCAAGGAGGAGGCTGGAGACATCAAAGATGTTATGTTTAAGGGTGATGTGTGGTTTGAATACTGTGCACAGAATTCAGAGTGTGATGATTAGGAGACAATGTGGAGTTGCCAAAAATATAATTTAGAATCCTGAGGAGGGGTTAAGGTGGTTTGGGCAATTGGAGAGAACAGAGAATCATAGGATAACTAAGAGGATATATAAAGCTGCTTGGAAAGGAAGCAGAGTGCGAGTTGCTTGAACATCTAACAAACTTATGTGAGCCTGTTAGATCATAATAAGCAATGACTTGACATGCAGTTGAAATGTGAACAGTTTAACATTTATGAAGAGATTCAGAGAAACCAGTTAGCCAAACTTGAGTCCAGATATGTGGGGTGGGGGGATGGGTGAAGAAAGATGGCTGGGCCATGCTGTATCCCTCAATCAATGTAGTAAATTTTATTTTTTCTTGTCTGAGCTGGAAGCTGTGATGACACTGAGGATGTGCTCTTGTCCTGTGTACACAACTCTGGAGTGGAGATGAGTCATTGTTTAATTCATGCAGCCTCTGTAGTTGATATCTGTAATGTGTCTTGCTTCATTAAAAACTTACAGAAATACAGTATTTATTTTAAGATTTCTTGTCAAAAAAATGAAAGAGAAGTCTTCTGTATTATCATGGCAGATATGAAGAAAGGAGCAATGGAAAAGAGGGTAGGTGATATTTGCATGGAAAATATGTGTCAGGCATACATGGGTGGAAGCTAAGATGTGAGGAACCAAGCCTGAAGAAGTTTTATTCAACGAACAAGAATGAATCTTTAGTAATTTCTCTAAAAAGGGAGCCCTGTGTTATATATGAATATTAGATGTTTCTTGAATCAAAATTAATGGTGGGTAGGCCCCTTGAAAATCGTAAGAACAATTGCCAAAACATCAAAAGTCCAAATTTGCAATCTAAGACCCTAAGTAGTGATGAGGTTTACTTGTTTATCATTCCAGTCTAAGCATTCATTAAGTCATGGCTTCCAAAAGTTGTTCAAATTTGCCAGCTGGTCATTGGATACTTAACTGTGAAGTGTTCTTGTTGCCAGCTAGTGATTCTCCCTGAATCTTTGTATCCACTGATTGTTTGGAAGTGGAATGTTGCTTCCGAAGATTTGGGGGATGCTTTAGGTGTATTTTTAGGGTTTCTCTTAAAGCTGAAGTCATCAGCACTGAAACAGGATGAAAAATGAAGCACTTGTGCAACATTTGGGAATCTTTACTGAGGAAGCATTTCACCAAACAGTGGCTTCATCAGTCCAATACAAAGAAGAATGAAGGAAAAAGAGGAGTTTGAGGTAATCAGTCCCTCAGTCTGAAATAGATGCGTTCAGTCCATCAATCTTGAAGAAAGTACTTTCTCCAAAATTGATGGACTGAACTGTTCCTTTTCTCTTACAAATATTATTAAACATTCTTCTAAAATGCTGATATTGTAAGTTTGGAATGTTGTAAGTCAGAACATCTGAAGTCAGGGCTGTACTGTACAATAAACTCTCAATGTATGTACAGATGCATTATACTATATACAGTAGCAAAAAAAAATGGAAACATGTAAAACTAAATATTAGAATAGCATGTCTAGCCATGTTTTCATTGCTGTTATGTCAGATGAGGCTAGGAGAGGTTTTAAAACCCTATATCTGCAACTTACACTGAAGGCACAGAAATGCTGTCCCCGCAACTCAAGATAAATGCGCATTAACTCCGCCTCCTGCACTGACATATAAGGAAGACACTCCAAAGAGGAACAGGACATGAAATAAAAAGTGCTGAGCCAGCAGAATGGAATTGGGCATAAATATTATGGGAAAATATGGATCTCAGGAAGCTTATCTTATGATTCTGAAGGCCAGTAAAGCTCATAAATTTATGCAACTGGCATGTGTATTATCTGTGAGAAAGTTCACCATATTTTCCCTTGGTATAATAATTACCCATAGTGCTAGGGAAATAAATAATCAACATCCAGTATTTGCAGCCAAGAAACAGTAACCTGTCCAGCAGCAAAAAAAAAAATAAAAAAAATAGAAAATGACTTGTATTTGATACAATACTACGTCCTGGATAGACAAATATATCGGTGAGCACTTCACCTGTGGGCAGAGATCCTGCCTTACTTCTTGAGTCTCTAAAACCCTCTTGTCTTATCAAAGCATTCTATATACAGTACTTCTAGACAGTATCAGCAAAGGATTTGACAGGCCAAAATTTTTATTATAACATAACATCTGATCTGTATGGTGACTTAGCCTAACATACAACAGTTCATCATAAGGCTATCCTGCTTAAGCACAGAACCAAGAAAAATTTGCCTCACTGTAAATAAGCAAATGTAGACAATGGGGTCAAGGAGTGGGACCCCAAATTCTGTTGGCTTTTTTCTTTCTATTTAAGGGCTAAGGAAGCGTCTCTGATATGAGCCCTGCCCCTTCCTTTCGTGCGTGCAGACTGAAGAACGAAAATATTGTTTTTGTCCTTATTGGGATGGTCTGCGATGGCCCAAGGACTAAGCAAGAATCCTACCTCATTAGTTCAGGGACCACACTCCACTGCAAGAACTACTGGAGAATATGAAGTGAATCCTGAGCAATCCTGTGAGGTAAGGCTAGAACACTGTAGACCACATTCCTGACCAATATCACAACTTTTGGTAAGAAAAATAAATGCCAAATTCTTTGGGTTGTTCAGCTGAAACTATTGTGAACAATAAACAAAAATATTAGAGGCCAGCTGTGAAGCTGTGTGAGCTCTTTGAAGGGCATCAAACAGATGACATGCCAGCACTTAGGGCTTAGAGGGAAAGTATGGTCATTGGCATCCAGGGCTTGCCTAGTGTGAATTAAGCCTTAAAATTATTTGACACATTACAAGTGAGAAACAAATAAGGCAGCAGAGTACATGCCTGTAATGGAATGGAGGACTTGTAGTACTAAACGGCTATAGCAATGTCAGCGAGAGACCAAGTCTGTTCTTATTGGTCATTGTCTCCCACAAGCATATAAATGTACATATTACATCGTTTTGAAGACTGAAAAACTATTTTCTGTGGAATAAAAACATGTCTAAATAACTCAGTTGCACCAGTAAATTGACCGCCTTGCCACTTGTAGCCCAGTTTGCCCATTTTGCCTCCTGTTTCCTTTAGGGCATTCCTATTTTCTAATTTAAAGGTGGTTAGGGGCTGACAAGAAGTTCGAATTACAGCACTGTGAGGCAGAACAACTGATGTGGAAAGATGAGGCTCCAGGTAATTCATCAAATATTCCACAGAGAAATGTTTTTCATTTTTCAAAATGTGTATCATACTTAGGTTTGATGAACCACTATACAAATCCTGCCACCAGTACCCAAAATTACCATGGAAGCAACTTTATGCTGCAAAGTGGGAAACTTTAAGGACCATAACACTGAGACAAGAAACCCACAATCTGTTTATTTCATGAATTAAGGCAGAATTACTAGAATGAGTATTGGTCATGATGGGATGCAGTGGATCTTTTATTGTAGGCCCTGAACAAACATCTACACTCTCAGTTAGGAATTTAAATTGATCTTCATTCATGCCAGAAAAGCTGTGATAATTGCATTCATACCAGTTCATGCTAATTTCCTAATGCAGAATTCAATCAGTGTTGAATAATGCTCATACAACTGTAACCCAGATATTTTTAGGGAGATATGCAATGTCAGGACTTATAGGTAGGTATAATGTTTGTCAGGAAATAGGACAAGTGTTTCCTGACAAGGGTCTTAGTCATATGATGACCCGCAACTGGAGCTTTTGATCATTTGACCAAGGCCTACTGCTGGCTTACTGGGAATCAAAAATTTATGGTTATGATTATAACCATTTCTAGGACTTACAGCTTAACCTTTCTTAGTATTTTTGACTTACCAAATAGTTTTTTAGGCTTTATTCTATTTCAAATTTATACTAATATAGTTCATTCCATGATATAACCTCAGGTCTTTGAACTGGATACCATTTCTGATTTTCTGTTTATTACCTAATTTGTGTCAGAGTACAGCCAGAAGCTCACTGTGAACCATTCTGTTGCCCAACAAATGGCCACTCTGTTCCCCAATATGGAACTAAGAGTAGAGGCATCATCATTCTTAATAAACATGTGTTGATTTCCTAATCTCAATAGGAACATAGCCCTAAAATAGGAAATTTTATATTTCATCAGGGTAATAAAAGCTTCTCATCTGTCTTGAGTTTTGTTAACTACTGTTTGAACACGAATAAATGATATTTTAATGTCATCTCTAGGAAGAGCATGAAGCCTCGTGGCATAATTATAGTATGTGTCTTCTTTCATGTGATGGATATCTTAACTCTTAACTCTTATGAGTTTGGAAGAAATTCTAATCATGTTGGAGTTTTTGTTTGATTACCTATTTTTAGTTACAGGAGCAGAGTTAACCTTGCAGTGTAAAATCTTCAGCTTCTACTGCCTTCTCTTATGAACCATTCTATTGCTCTACCATTGTTTGTGAAAAAAGGCCTTTTCTTCTTGTTGAGGGTGATGATAAATCTTCCTGGTCAGTAAATATCACAATAAAGGAAAGAAAATCTGCTTAAATATCACAAATATAGAACAGAAAGTAAAACACTGTACCAGAGAGAAGAAACACAAAAGAAACACAAAGTAACTCAAGAAATTGAGAAAGAACAAATACTCCACTAGGTCTATTGACTTATACTAGGCAGGTCAAATTCACACTCAACCACACCTCCTCATGTAACTTTCCAGCCTATGTTTATAGCTACTCAGAGTTATCACTCCAGTGATGCTACCTAGAAGTTTGTTCCACTCATTTACAAGTTTGCTGCTAAGCCAGTACCTGTCTATAGTACGGGTGTAATACATTCAGCAAGTTATATATATCCCACTTTATTGATTCCCATTTTCCATTTGTATACTTCATCATATTTCCCGTAATTCTGTGTTTCCAGTAATGATCAAAATTATTCTGCCTAGTTGACTAGTAGGTTGTTGACTTTGGTCAACCCCTAGATATGGATGTAGGGTCTATGCTCAGGACTTGCAGTAAAAAACCTCTACAGTTACTTTTAGACCAGACATGCTCTAGAGCTGTTCAATTTTCAGTTTCCCAACTATACAGGTTATGAGCCTCTGTCTCAGTGCTAAGAAACCAAGTTCCTACCTTCCAGATGAAGGCTAGCTCCCTCCGATATGATTTAGGGGGACTGGTTGGTGGTGGACTCCTAAAAAGAATGTCAGTTCTCACGTTTGGGATATGTTTCAAAGGATAAAACACTAATTTTGTTTTAGAGTTCAGTAAACCACTGCTGCCTCACATATACTGTTTAGATTTAGGGTGTTGGAATTGTTTGCCATAGATTTTGAGATCTAGAGAAAATGATAGGCAGAAAGAGGCATACTGAACTGAAAGTAGCAGAAATGCAATTAAGTTACTTTTTTGATGTTGTTATGCCCAAGTTGTTCATCAAATCACATACAGAAATCCATTTTCATAACTCAAAATGGTGTAATTTGAGATAGAGTTGGTGGCAGTTTTTGAATTTTTTAATATTTTTAATTGTAATTGGGGAGGTCATAGTGCCTGCCTCATTTTCCCACATATTAGTTATGCATATGCATAAAAATTTATGCTACACTATGCTAAAGGGCAGCATAGCCCTCTGATAGTCAGTTAAGAAATTACTTAGCTTATTCAGGTACAGTATTGATGCTTTGACACCCTTAATGCTTTTGTTGGACAGTGTTGTCTGGAGTATCAGGCTTCTCTTTGTGGAAGATAGCATATCTAAAATAAAATTTGCTCTTATCATCAGATTTGATACACACACATGGCACGCACACACACACACACACACACACACACACACACACACACACACACACACACACACACACACACACACACACACACACACACACACACACGCACGCATACGCACACACATGCACACGCGCACACACACACACGACAATTTGAAAATGACATAGCAAAAGCCAAATCTGACCCGAAGCTGTTCTACAGCCACATCAGGAGGAAAACAACAGTCAAGGACCAGGTAGTCAGACTGAGGAAGGAAGGAGGAGAGATCACAAGAAACAACCGCAAAATATGTGAGGAGCTCAACATGAGATTCAAAGAAGTGTTCACAGAGGTGACAGAAGGGACTCCAGAAAGATGGAGAGGTGGGGTACACTGTCAAGTGTTGGACACAATACATACAACCGAGGAAGAAGTGAAGAGGCTGCTAAGCGAGCTAGATACCTCAAAGGCAATGGGGCCAGATAACATCTCTCCATTGGTCCTGAGAGAGGGAGCAGAGGCACTATGTGTATCACTAACAACAATCTTCAACACATCTATTGAAACAGGGCAACTACCTGAGGTATGGAAGACATCAAATGTAGTCCCAGTTTTTGAAAAAAGGAGACAGACATGAAGCATTAAACTACAGACCAGTGTCCCTGACATGTATAGTATGCAAAGTCATGGAGAAGATTATCAGGAGAAGAGTAGTAGAGCACCTAGAAGGGAATGAGCTTATCAACGACATCCAGCATGGTTAAAGGGATGGGAAATCCTGTGTCACAAGAGAGAGAGAGAGAGGGGTGGGTAGATTCCATTTCTTGGACTGTAAACAGGTATTTGACACAGTTCCACACAAGAAATTAGTGCAAAAGCGGAAAGACCAGGCAGGGAATAACAGGAAAGGCACTGCAATGGATCAAGGAATATACCTGTCAGGAAGACAACAGCGAGTCATGGTACGTGGTGAGGTGTCAGAGTGGGCGTCTGTGGTGAGTGGGGTTCCACAGGGGTCAGTCTTAGGACTGGTGCTGTTCCTGGTACAGTGGAACCCTGAATTTCGGCTGTAATTCATTCCAGGAGCTAGGCCTAAACTCGAAATGGCCGAAAGTTGAAGCAGTATTTCCCTTAAGAAATAATGTAAATCCAATTAATCTGTTCCAGACCCACAAAAATATTCACAAAAAATATATTTTTAAAGAATAACTGTAGTTTAACATACAAACAACAAATATAAATGCTTGTCGTATACAGGGTATACGACAAATTTTAACCATACAATAGAGCAGAAAATTAATGTGAAGGTCCTGGGAGTGATGATGTCAGAGGATCTTGCTTTCAAAGACCACAATAATGTATCTACCTCATCCACTAGGAAATGATAGGATGGATAATGAGAACCTTCAAAACTAGGGATGCCAAGCCCATGATGATTCTCTTCAAATCACTTGTGCTCTCTAGGCTGGAATACAGCTGTACACTAATGCCCCCCTTCAAGGCAGGCGACTTTGCAGACTTGGAGAGTGTACAAAGAACTTTCACGGCACATGTAAGTACGATAAGGCACCTAAACTACTGTGAATGGTTGAAGGTCCTTGACTTGTATTCCCTTGAATGCATTCAAGAGAGATGCATGATAATATACACTTGGAAGGTCCTGGAGGGATTGGCATTAAACCTGCACACGAAAATCACTCCCTATGAGAGCAGAAGACTCGGCAGGAGAGGCACCATTCCCCCGATGAGAAGCAGGGGCACCATGAGTACATTGAAAGACAACACAATAAGTGTCCGGGGCCCAAGACTGCTCAATTGCCTCCCAGCATACGTAAGGGGGATTACCAATAGACCCCTGGCTGTCTTCAAGAAGGCACTGGACAGGCACCTAAAGTCAGTACCTGACCAACTGGGCTATGATTTGTATGTCAGCCTGCATGTGGCCAGCAGCAACAGCCTGGTTGATCAGACCCTGATCCACCATGAGGCCTGGTCTCAGACCAGGCCGTGGGAGCATTGACCCCTGAAACCCTCTCCAGGTAAACTCAAGGTAATAAGTAAACATTTAAAATCACATTTATGTATCTTTATTGAAGAGTCTTGCTGGCATCTGGAAGATAGGGAGGAGGAGAGAGGGAGGATTTATTGTTTGGAAGGGGAATCCCCTTTCATAATGACTTTAGGTAACAAGTCCTTATCTTGGGCTACTTCCCTTCTTTGTCTTTTAATGCCACTAGGACCAGCTTGAGAGTCACTGGACCCCTGTCGCACAAAACATTTGTCAAGAGTGCTTTGTTTCTGACAACTCTTTAAGATTTCCCTGAAGTGGGACAAGGTTTTGTCACTGGACATGTTGCAGATATTGCTTCTTTCAGCTTGGTCAGGTTGATACTTTTAAACAAAACTTTGCAACTCATTCCACTTTGCACACATGCCCTTATTCACTGAAGAAGGCACCTCCTTCACTCCCTCTTCCTCGTCTTCTGAAGCAAGTTCCTCAGCTGTGGTCTGATGCTGTTCCAGTTGAAGCTCTTGCAATTTATCAGTGGTTTGCTCTTCCCTGTGGTTCTCCACTAATTCTTCCACATCCTCGCCACTCAACTCCAACCCCATAGACTTGCCCAATGCCACAATACCTTCCACAACAGGCAGAGGGTCGTCAGGGTCAGCCTCAGACCCTTCAAAATCCCTCTGGATGACACATTGTGGCCACAGTTGTCTTCAAGCAGAGTTCAAAGTCCTGGAAGTCACTCCCTCCCAAGCCTTACCTATAAGGCTTATCCAGTTGTAGATATTGAAGTGATTCCTCCAGAACTCTCTTAGGGTCAATTCAGTGTCCCAGGTCACTTCAAAGCACTTTTCAAACACTGCTTTTGTGTAGACTTTTTTGAAGTTAGAAATGACCTGCTGGTTCATGGACTGGGGGGGAAGAGTGGTGTTAGGAGGCAAGAACTTCACTGTTATAAAACTGAAGTCCCTAGACAAGAGATCTACCAAGTTTGGAGGATGAGCAGGAGCATTGTCCATTACCAGGAGGCACTTGAGTGGCAAATTATTTTCCAGGAGGCATTTTTTCACACTGGGGCCAAACACTTCATGGACCCACTCTTTGAAAATTTGTCTCATGACCCAGGCCTTATATTTAGCTTTCCACAACACACACAATTTACTTTTGATGACATTGTTTTTCTTGAACACACTGGAATTTTCAGAGTGATACACCAGTAAAGGCTTCACTTTAAAATCCCCACTAGCATTAGCACAGAACAAGAGTGTTAGACTGTCTTTCCTATGCTTGTGTCCTGACACTGCCTTTTCCTCCTGAGTAATGTAGGTCCTCTTTGGCATTTTCTTCCAAAAGAGGCCTCTTTCGTCACAATTGAACACTTGTTCTAGTTTAAATTCTTCAGCCTCTACGTACCCCTTGAATTCACGCACATATTTTTCAGCCGCCAATTTGTCAGAACTGGCAACGTCACCATGCCTTACCACACTGTGTAGGCCACTATGCTTCTTAAATCTGTCAAACCAGCCTTTGTTGGCCTTAAATTCACTAACATCAGCACTGGTTCCAGGCATTTTCTTCAGAAGATCACCATGCAACTGCCTTGCCTTTTCACAAATGATCGACTCTGAAACACTATCACCCGCTATCTCTTAATTGTTGATCCACACCACCAACAACTTTTCAACCTCTTTGACTGCTTGTGTTCTATTTTTGGTTAACATGTCAACACCATTTGTAGCATCAGCTTCCTTGAGTTCCTTTCTCTTCGCTAGAATAGAAGTGATTGTTGATTTGATTTTGCCGTACATCCTGGCAAGCTCACCCACACGTATGCCACTCTCATATTTTTGTACTATCTCCTTCAATTCTGTGGCGTTTCTCACTTTCCTTACCAAAGGGCTGCCACTATGAAGTTTCTTTGGGCCTATGGTGATTTATTTCACAGTCACAATCAATAAACAAGCACTAAACACAATGAATTTATTGTGAAATGTTCGGATGAGTGCGCAAGGTAATGTTCACTCATGGATAAACAAAGCTAGACTGGTTTGTGACGCCTGTGTGGGGAGGCATGCAGGCGTGGGCAGGCAGACAGGTCTGGTACGCCAGCCAAAACATTGGGCAATGGCTGAAACTCGGGACAAAATTTAGCTGAAAAAAGCTGCTGAAACTCGAAACGGTCGATACTCACTGCGGCTGAAACTCGGGGTTCCACTGCAGATATTTGTGAACAACATGACAGAAGGAATAGACCCAGAAGTATCTCAGAAGTTGATGAGAAGAATTCAGTCAGACGAGGACCAGGCAGAACTACAAAGGGATCTGGACAGGCTGCAGGCCTGGTCCAGCAACTGGCTCCTGGAGTTCAACCCCACCAAGTGCAAAGTCATGAAAATTGGGGAAGGGCAAAGAAGACTGCAGACAGAGTACAGTCAAGGGGGCCAGAGGCTACAAACCTCACTCAAGGTAAAGAATCTTGGGGTGAGTATAACACTGGGCACATCTCCTGAGGTGCGCATCAACCAGATAACCGCTGCAGAATGCAGGCACCTAGCAAACCTCAGAACAGCATTCCAACATCTTAATAAAGAATCATTCAGGACCCTGTACACCATGTACGTTAGGCACATATTGGAGTATGCGGCACCAGTTTGGAACCCACACCTAGCCAGGCACGTAAAGAAACTAGAGAAAGTGCAAAGGTTTGCAACAAGACTAGTCCCAGAGCTAAGGGGTATGTCCTACGAGGAGAGGTTAAGGGAAATCGACCTGACGACACTGGAGAACAGGAGAGATAGGGACGACATGATAATGACAGACCAAATACTGAGAGGAATTGACACACACACAAGAGATTAGTGCAAAAACTGGAGGACCAAGCAAGGATAACAGGGAAGGCACTACAATGGATCAGGGAATACTTGTCAGGAAGACAGCAGTGAGTCATGGTACGTGGTGAGGTGTCAGAGTGGGCACCTGTGACCAGCGGGGTCCCACAGGGGTCAGTCCTAGGACCAGTGCTGTTTCTGGTATGTATTTGTGAACGACATGACGGAAGGAATAGACTCCAAAGTGTCCCTGTTTGCAGATGACGTAAAGTTGATGAGAAGAATTCATTCGATCGAAGACCAGGCAGAACTACAAAGGGATCTGGACAGGCTGCAGACCTGCTCCAGCAATTGGCTCCTGGAGTTCAACCCCACCAAGTGCAAAGTCATGAAGATTGGGGAAGGGCAAAGAAGACTGCAGATGGAGTACAGTCTAGGGGGCCAGAGACTACAAACCTCACTGAAGGAAAAAGATCTTGGGGTGAGTATAACACCAGGCACATCTCCTGAAGCGCACATCAACCAAATAACTGCTGCAGCATATGGGCGCCTTGCAAACCTCAGAACAGCATTCCGACATCTTAATAAGGAATCGTTCAGGACCCTGTACACCGTGTACGTTAAGCCCATATTGGAGTATGCGGCACCAGTCTGGAACCCACACCTAGCCAAGCACGTAAAGAAACTAGAGAAAGTGCAAAGGTTTGCCACAAGACCAGTCCCAGAGCTAAGAGGTATGTCCTACGAAGAGAGGTTAAGGGAAATCAACCTGATGACACTGGAGGACAGGAGAGATAGGGGGGACATGATAACGACTTACAAAATACTGAGAGGAATTGACAAGGTGGACAAAGACAGGATGTTCCAGAGACTGGATACAGCAACAAAGGGACACAGTTGGAAGCTAAAGACACAGATGAATCACAGGGATGTTAGGAAGTATTTCTTCAGCCACAGAGTAGTCAGGAAGTGGAATAGTTTGGGAAGAGATGTAGTGGAGGCAGGATCCATACATAGCTTTAAGCAGAGGTATGATAAAGCTCATGGTTCAGGGAGAGTGACCTAGTGGCGACCAGTGAAGAGGCGGGGCCAGGAGCTTGGACTCGACCCCTGCAACCTCAACTAGGTGAGTACAGCTAGGTGAGTACACACACACACACACACACAAGAGAAGAGAGAGAGAGAGAGAGAGAGAGGATGTTCCAGAGATGGGACTCCTATGAATCAAAGGGATGTTAAGAAGTATTTCTTCAGTCATAGAGTTGGCAGGCAGAGGAATAGCCTAGAAAGTGATGTAGTGGAGGCGGGAACCATACATAGTTTTAAGACGAGGTTTGACGAAGCTCGTGGAGCAGGGAGAGAGAGGACCTATTAGCAATCAGTGTAGAGGCAGGGCCAAGAGCTATGACTCAACCCCTGCAACCACAATTAGGTGAGTACGCTCACTCACTCTCACTCGTATTCACTCACACATCCACTTTTATCATGTAGTGTGAGTCTTAATCTTGGTTAAAATCGTAGTCTGGAAGTTTTTCATTACTTATTACTAGTTTTAATAATAAGAGTTTGCTTTTGATGAATGTCACAACAATACTTATTTAAACTGCTGTAGGTTTGATAGTGCTTAAATTTAGGGACGTCACAATCTGAGACAGTGAGTATTATGAAGCTTCCTTGTCGTATTTTGGTATATTTTTGCGATGTGGTATTCTGTGCCCTATATAAAATGATACCATCAGTAATGATGTAGTCCCTGATAGCAGACCTGGGAATTAAATATGTTTGAAATGTTATTGGAGAGTTCCTTTATTTTGGGGAGATGGGAATTACTGTGAATGTCCCTATAAAATACAGTACTCAGTATTGTTATGTTTCAATGCTTTGTTGGTCAATGCTGAACATTTTGAAAAAGGGGCTGCACTTTATGATCAGTTTAATACAATTACATCTTGTCTTGAGAGACATAGGGAACATGAATAACTTTCTTGTTCATGTCCAATAATTCCAGTATCAATTACTATTAAATATTAAAAGAGTATTACATTCATAATATTAATATAATTATTACAGCAATATCTCTCTTATTCGGTTATGGTGAAATACCATAAAACTGATTTCAGAACTTTGGGAATTTTTGAGATAAGCATTTTTTCACCAGACTCTTGGGAGCCAGATACAGGTGCACCTCAACTTATGATAGTTTGACTTACAATATTTCAACTTTATAATGGTGCGAAAGCGATTACTTTTGAGATGGAACTTAGGGTAATAACCCAGCATGAAAGTGGCAAATCGTTAACTTATATTCATTTATTTACTTTTAAATATTGGTATTTAGTTACAACAATTATTTGTTTATTTACTTATTTAGTGACAGTAGTTATTTATTTATTTAGCATATATTCATATTTGACTTACGATATTTCCAACTTACGATGGGTTCATTGGAATGTAACCCCAGCGTGAGTCAAGGACCATCTGTACTTACTAGGAAAAATGCCTTCAAGTCCAGGAATGTAGTTTCTGAGAACTGTTAAGGACTATATCGTTATCGTATTTTATTCTCTGCTGGTTTGAATTATAAAAACATAATTTTTTTTTATGTGTTCATTTGTTGAGTGCTTAGTCATCTTGTTTATATTTTAGAAAAAATGTTAGAAAATAAATATATATATATATGTTGATAAATTAGACACATGTGCAACTCTTGGGTATCTTTATTGAGGAAACGTTTCACCACCAGTGGCTTCATCAGTCAAATATGAGAAACTTGAAGAACAGGAGGAGAATGAGGTAAATTAATCCCTAACTTGGAAGCGATTTTCACGTCCAACATACTTGAAATAATAATCTCGAAACCACATCGAAATCAAGGTTGAGGAACTGATTACCTCATTCATCCTCCTGTTTTCAAGTTCCCCAAGTATGGACTGATTGCAAGTCCCTTTTGTTGTATTGAAACTTTTTCCTCATATAAAGATACCCAA